ATGTTTCTAACAGCCCTCCGAGATCAGGTGCCTCACACCCGAGGTAAAACCCACCTCTCCAGTCGCACTGTGTGGTGCATTTCTTGACCTCCTCAATTTCAGAGCCAGTTTCCAGGGCAATTGCTACTCAGCATAAGTATCACTTTCTTTTTGAAAGTATTCACTAAGACCCTTTCCCCTCCAGGGGTCCCTTCTCATGTTTCTTTCTTTTTTTTTTTTTTTTAGACAGAGTTTCCCTTTTGCTGCCCAGGCTGGAGTGCAATGGTGTGATCTCCGCTCACTGCAACCTCCACCTCCCAGGTTCAAGTGATTCTCCTGCCTCAGCCTCCCAAGTAGCTGGGATTACAGCCATGCGCCACCACATCTGGCTAACTTTTTGTATGTTTAGTAGAGACGAGGTTTCCCCATGTTGGTCATGCTGGTCTAAAACTCCTGACCTCAGGTGATTCCCGCCCTGCCTTGATGTCCCAAAGTGCTGGGATTACAGGTGTAAGCCACCATGCCTGGCCCCCATTCATGTTTCTTCAGTGAGTTGCACATACCTCCACAACAGCACCTGGCACTATTTTATAATTGTTGGATTCCCAAAAAAAAAAATTGTTGGATTCCTATCTGTCTCCTCTAATCCAATTTAATTATAATTTCTTTTTTTTTTTTTTTTTTTGAGATGGCGTCTCATTCTGTCTCCCAGGCTGGAGTGTAGTGGTGCAATCTCGACTCACTGCAACCTCCGTCTCCTAAGTTCAAGTGATTCTCTTACCTCAGCCTCCTGAGGAGCTGTGATTACAGGTGTGCACCACCACACCCAATTAATTTTTTTATTTTTAGTAGAGACGAGGTTTCGCCATGTCTGGGCAGGCTGGGCTCGAACTCCTGACCTCAGGCTATCTGCCCACCTTGGCCCCGCAAAGTGCTGGGATTACAGACTTAAGCCACTGTACCTGGCCATTTTTCTGCTGGATTTCCTTTTTTTTTTTTGAGAGTCTCGCTCTGTTGCCCAGGCTAGAGTGTGCAGTGGCGCAATCTCAGCTCACTGGGTTCGAGCGATTCTCATGCCTCAGCCTCCCTTATAGCTGGGATTACAGGTGCCCACCACCACACCCAGCTATTTTTTGTATTTTTCATAGAGACTGGGTTTCATCATTTTGGCTAGGCTGGTCTTAGACTCCCGAACTCAGGTAATCCGCCTGCCTCGGCATCCCAAACAATTTGGGGGTGGGAGGACCAGTACCAAAAAGCCCTGATCACATCATGAATGGATTCATGCAAAACATCACTTCTACAGAAAAACTATGTATATCAAAGCAGAGTGGGTCAATGTTATGTAGAATATTTACATAGAAACTGTGGTGAATTTATGTCAGTTGTTGAGCAATAAAATGTAGTAAAAAGGCCTTTTGAGTCAAGAGCACTGGGTTTGAATTCCAAACCTGTCACTTCTAAGCCAGGTTGCTATGGACAAGTTACTTAACCTAAATCTCAGTTTCCTGGCTTCTAAAATTAGGAAAATATTACTTGGTATATTATTTGAAAAAAAAAAAGAAAAATAAATAAAAAATAAAATTAGGAAAATAGTACCTGCTTGATTATAATGTTTTATCTAATGAGACAGAGCTATTAAGTGCCTGGCACAGAACAGGCTTCTAAGGCTATCGTTTAAATGTCAATTTTCTTCTACTTACGGAACACTGCTAAAAAGTCCAAGGTCACATATTCTTCCTTTGGGAAAGAACACTTACACTTTCTAAAATCTTGACCACACCCTGAATCCCAGCCAACCATCTTTCAGATGAACTAGGTCATAAAGAAGACTTTGGAGGAGGACCGAGCATGGTGGCTCACGCCTGTAATCTTATAACTTTGGGAGGCTGAGTCAAGCCGATCACCTTAGTTCAGAAGTTCGAGACCAGCCTCATCAACATGGAGAAACCCCATCTCTACTAAAAATACAAAATTAGCTAGGCGTGGTGGCGCATGCCTGTAATCCCAGCTACTGGGGAGGCTGAGGCAGAAGAACCACTTGAATCCAGGAGGCGGAGGCTGGTGAGCTGAGATCACGCCATTGCACTCCAATCTGAGTGCAAGAGCGAAAATCCATCTCAAAAAAAAAAAAAAAAAAAAAAAGAGAGGAGGGAAAAATCACTTCAAAGCAATCTGATTACCCCTGTTGAAAAACAGTTTAACACCTACTGAGCTGGGCCCAGTGGCTCACCCCTGTAATCCCAGCACTCTGGGAGGCTGAGGCAAGCAGGTCACTTGAGCCCAGGAGCTTGAGATCAGCCTGGGCAACATCATGAAACCCCATCTCCAGAAAAAAATACAAAAATTAGCTGGGTATGGTGGCATGAGCCTGTAGTCCTAGCTTGGGAGGCTGAGATGAGAAGATCACTTGAGCCCAGGAGGCAGAGGTTGCAATGAGCCAAGATCGTGCCACTGCACTCTAGGCTGGGCAACAGAGCCAGATCCTGTCTCAAAATCAAACACACCACCTACTCACAGCACCATCTTGAGATATAAAAAACAACACATGAGTAGGTTATAGAATTAATATAACGTAAATAATGATGGCTTGGAATGTAGGTTCCTGAAGAGAATGAACTTAGTCATGGTTCTGCAATGAACTACAGGCAGTGAACTACAGGGCAATGAACTCACTGTAATACACAATATAAATAACAAACAGCCATAAATAACAAACTTAAAAGCACACAAATTCTAGGTGATCTATGAAAGGGACCAAAATGTGCACATAACATAAAAGTTCCTAAAGCTACCAGTCTGGTTATATCACCTTTGTTTTTCACCAACTGCATAATTAGACATTTTCATTTTGTTAAAATATGAAACTCTGCCTTACCTAATTTCCTAAATTAGATTAAAAGATCACTGTCTTGCCTGTTTTAACCCTGAAATATAAGCCTGAAGTTTCAATAATATATTATTTTGTAACCAAATCAACGTCACCTACCGTATCTGACACAAGTTTCCAACTACAGAGTGACAATACAAAGGCAAAAGCTTTGGAAATGTCTCTTGAGAATTGCTTACCTAACGTCAAAAATTTTTAACTGAATTTAAAAAACTTCAAAGATATTTTTCCAAAAAAACTGTTTGGCTCCCTCTTTGGGAGGCTGAAGTAGGAGGATCCCTTGAGGTCAGGAGCTTGAGACCATCCTGGGCAACATGGCAAGACCCCTGTCTCTACAAAAAAATTAAACATTTTAAAATTAAAAACAAACATTATTTGTTGTCGGTTCTGCTGAGAGTAAAATTAACAGTTACTGAACCAGCCCTTTGTGTTGAAGACAAATAATTTGCTGAAGATAATTTTACAGTGATCCTGTATGAGTAAATTTAATTTTTTTCATTTACTTTAATAATCTGTTGACCTTGAAAAGTTTCTTCTATTTCTTCCACAAAGGTTACATGTGTTCCTTATATGGTCACAAAAAGTTATACCTTCCTCAAGGACTGGGTAAAGTGAAGAGACACATTTTAGATTATACAATATCTTCAGTGGTCTATAAGGCCTCACTGGTTTGGAAAGAATTTCTTGGTGAAACAAGTATGCAAGAGTCTCTAAACCAAGAACTATTAACAGATCATCACAGACACACAAAAAAGTAATTTCTGGGAGTAAAGAACTGCTAAGAAACAGTATCTGCCTTAAGAGAAATTACTCACTAGAATTCACATTAATGAAAAATGGGGGAGGGTAGAGAAACTTTTAAAAACTACATAAAACAAAGTGATTCTAAGGAGATCTCTTGATATTTCCTATTGAATGAAAGAAACTGTTCAATATTCTCTTAAGATTATATTTCTGATGTATTTGAAAAAAACAAAGTCAGTAACGCAGAATGGTTCATCTTGATTTTCCAAACCAAGTATCCAAGTATCACAACCAACAAAATCATTTGCTTCCTTGCACACCACTGCATGTCCTATCCCTGGACAATTTCAGTCCCTAAGTAAACACACTAAGTACTCTGAAGCTAAAACTGGAGCATGGAAGTCTTATAGCACAACCAACCTGATAGATGACTGGTTTCCTAACACTGTAAGAAAGGAAGTTTATATGATGAACCAGTGGAAGAAATGTGAAGGTAGGCTGAAGAGGGCATACCCAGCAGGGGTCCTGAAAGGGAAGCTCCCAATTTGTAAAAAGGCAGGGAAAAGGCAGTAGTAGAACCATAGGAAATTCCTTGTACCCTAATTGCCACTATTTTTTTTCCCAACAACCTAATTTAGTAAAGAATCTTTAAAACATCAATAAGTAGATCTGTATAACTCCTTTAAGATATGCGAACAGAAGAGTTTACAGAGCCATTTGCTTCCACTTGCTTCCTGTTCAGTCTGTGCTACAGCAAAACACATGTTTGAAAGATAGAAGTAGGAAAAACAGAATGTAAGAGAAGAATGCCGGAAGTCTTTAGTAGTCTATTAAGTCACTAGAATATAACTGGAATTCTCTAAACTGTTAAGAAGATACATATTTTGTTAAATTTCAAAGAATCTGTAAACCATCACTCAAGCAAAAAGATATGTTTAGTCAACTTATACAGTGAAATAACCACACATATTTGGAATTTCAAAGCCTCCTTTAAAAATATTCACCTACCATACATTCTCATTCCATCCAAAATTGTTCTTTAAATTCCTAAGACACAGACACACACACTTTAGCTTGATGTAAATCTAGCCCTTCTTGCTTGCACGCCCTGAAGAAAAGAATAAACACCTCAACATGCTCTCTCTTTTTCAGACCCTAAGAGAACACTCGGAAAGCAGCTAATGGAGTTCAGAATGAAGAAGAAAGGCAAAAGAATAAAGGAGAATAAAACCAGAGACCCTATCGGGAAGTCGTGTTATTCTTGGAAAAACCATCTCCGTTCCTTCCCCAAGCCCAAAGGCCAGGCAGCACTGGCGCAATATCATCCTTGTCCAAAGCGCTAAAGAGTTGCCAACTAATCCCTCAAGGTGTCCCCCAATCTCCTCACCTCATCAGCGCTCAGCTCCTCCATCGCTTTCCTCTTAATGGTGAAAGGCGTTAGGGAGAGATCCTTCTGTTCTCGAGACCACGGCGGGAGGAAGGAGAGTGGAAGGTGTCTATCAGGATGTCTGGTCCCCCGAATGGGGGAGGTTTCAGAATTGCATAGTCAGAGGTTAAAAAATAAGAACACGAGAGGCACTGAACTGCCTTGGCTTCAGTCACTCCAATCGCCCCAGAGACTGCTACAGCCGCTCGTTCCCTGAGCAGCCTCCTTTGGCCGCCACTGCTGCTGCTACAGGGTTATCTTAAGGCGCCACTTACTACCCTCTGCTTCCCCGGTTACCCAGACTAGGCAGCACGGTCTCCAGCTCGTCTCGTGCCCCGAGTCTGCTGTGTCTTCGTGATGGTGGCGCGGTAGCTGCGTTTCCTACAGCAGATCCTGCTCTCCTTCCTACCCTTTGCCCCAGGCGGGAACTAGTCGACTGCAGAGTGGATACCCCGAGGTAAGGCGACCCCACAGCCGTCCTGGCAGAGCCCAGCACTGGAAGGGAAGCCCCTCCCCTCCCAAAGCAGGCCGGCCACGCCCCGCCTCCACGCCGGAGTCCGGGTAGGGGGGAGGGGGAGGATGGGACGCGCGTAGCTCTCGCTGGAAGAGTAAATCCTCCTACCCCTCCACCCCTACTCTTTCCCCCTCGCCCCACCAAGTATTATTCATCAAAACAACAGGGCGGCCATCTTTGAAAGGGATCACGTGGCCACTGTCAGGGAGGCGGGGCTTCTGGCGCCGGGACGTGGCAGCCAATAGACCGCGTGCGTCGCGGCGCCGAGTTCCTCTAGCTTGCGTCCTCTCCCCGCCCCCATCCCACCCCCTCCCGCGCAGCCGCGCCGGGCGGGGGGAGGGGCAAGGGGAGGCGGGCGGCAGGGCGGGGCGTTGCCAGGGCGACCATGCAGGGGCGGTGGGAGCCGCAGGCCCGGGACAGGTAGGCTGGCCAGGGGAGGGACAGCGGCCGAACGCGCTCCAGGAAAGATCCGCCTGAAGGTGGCGCTGGCCCGCAGCCCGGTGGCCTGCACCGCCTCCGTTGTTCCCAGTCGCCTGCTTTTCTGTGACCTGGGAGCCCAGAAACCCCGCCATCGCTCCCTCTGGACTCTGCGCGCCCGCCGCCTAAACGAGGGAAAAGAAAACGGAAAACCTCTCCTTGTCCCCAGGGGCGTGATCTACCGTATTGAGCGCTCATTTTCTGAAACATCTGCTACACACTCTTCCACCTCCTCCAGGAAAGCCCAGTTGGAAGAAAACTCGAACACAAGAACTCCCATTCATTTTGTTTTACCTTGGCCTTTTAGTGAGATACTTCTTGGGTTTTTTTTTTTTTTTAAGTGCGTTCGAAAAGCATTGGTAAAATTAGAAAGTATAAATGGATGAGAGACCCAAATAACTTTGAATTGTACACAACATATGCAAGGAAGACGTTTGGAGTCAGTGGGGGAAAACCATCCTCAGGTGCACAAGAATACAAATATTTTCTAAAATATAAACCTGGCGGGGCGCGGGTGGCTCATGCCTGTAATCCCAGCACTTTGGGAGGCCGAGGCGAGCGGATCACGAGGTCAGGGGTTCGAAACCAGCCGGGCCATCATGGCCAACCCTGTCTCTACTAAAAATACAAAAAATTAGCCGAGCAGGGTGGCGCGCGCCTGTAATCCCCGCTACTCGGAAGGCTGAGGCAGGAGAATGGCTTGAGCCGCGAGGCGGGGGTTGTAGTGAGCCAAAATCACGCCACCGCCTCCCAAAGTGCTAGGATTACAGGCGTGAGCCACCATGCCCGGCTTTTTGTTTTGTTTTTGAGACAGAGTCTTGTTCTGTCACCCAGGCTGGAGTTGAGTGGCACAATCTTGTCACACTGCAACCTCTGCCTCCTGGATTCAAGCGATTCTCCTGCCTCAGCCTCAAAACAATTAATTAATTAATTAATTAATTAAAATGGCCTGAGGCCGGGCGTGGTGGCTCACGCCAGTAATCCAAGCACTTTGGAGGCCAAGGCCGGCAGATCACCTGAGGTCGGGAGTTCAAGACCAGCCTGACCAACATGGTGAAACCCCGTCTTTAAAAAAAAAAAAAAAAAAAATGGCCTGGTGCTGTGGCTCACGCCTGTCATCGCAGCACTTTGGGAAGCTGGGGCGGGTGGATCACCTGAGGTCAGGAGTTCGAGACCAGGTTGGCCAACATAGCAAAACTCCATTTCTACTAAAAATACAAAAAATAAAAATAAAATAAAATATAAATCTAAGTTGAGCGGTCAAAATAACAGTACCATGAAATTCCAGATTTTGCCACGGACCAGGACTACAAGTGGATTGGATGGCTCACTACACCATAAAGACTGCATTCCAGAATTAAGAGTTACAATGTCTTTGCTACATGCTTAAAATAGGAACCTGACTATCAGATATGTAAGGAATTTGTGAGTAAAAATAAACCACTGCTGCCTGTGCATATTATCTGCTCTCCAGGAATGGAATTCTGTATAAGCCAGAACTGAACCCCTGGTGACACTGATGTTAAAAGTTTACTTCTTTTTTTTAACCTCATTATTGCCATCTAATTTACATACCATACAGTTCAGCCAATTAAGGTGTACAATGGTTTGATTACATTCACAGTTCAGTCATCCTCACTGTACAATTTCAGTACGTTTTCATCATCCCAAGAAGAAACCCTCAGAGTCATTAACAGTCACTCCCCATACTCCCGCAGGATAAGGACCTGTCTCGGTGAAGTTGCCTATTCTGGACATTTCGAATCAATGGCACAATACACCATGTGGTCTTTGGGGTCTGGCTTCCTTCACTTAGCATATGTTTTCAAGGTTCATCCATATTGTGGCATATATCTGTACTTCATTTCTTTAATGCCAAATGTTGCGCTGGATTGCTGTGGCACATTTTGTTTATCAATTCATAGTGACATTTGGGTTGTTTCCACCTTTTGACAATTTTGAGTAATGCTGCTATAAACATTCATGTACAAGTTTTTGTTTCGACGTGTTATTTTTATTCCTTTTAGGCATATACCTAGGAGGGAAATTGCTAGGTTACACGTTTGACTTTTTGAGAAACTGCCAAATTGTTTTCCAAAGCAGCTGCACTGCCACCAGCAATGTCTGAGGGTTCTAACTTCTCCACATCTGTACCAATAATTGTTATTGTCTGTCTTTTTTACTGTAGCCATGCTAGTAGGTGTGAAAGATATGGTTTGGTTTGGTTTTTCATTTTCCTAGGAGCTGATGATGTTGAACATCTGCTTGGGCTTATCTTCCTTGGGCAAATACCTATTCCGATTCTCTGTTTTTCTTTTTTCTTTTCTTTCTTTCTTTTTTTTGAGACAGATCCTGGCTCTGTCTCCACACTGGAGTGCAGTAGCATGATCCTGGCTCACTGCAACCTCCGCCTCAAAGGTTCAAGCGATTCTCCTGTTTCAGCCTCCCAAGTAGCTGGGACTACAGGCGTGTACCACCATGCCAAGCTAATTTTTTTTTTTTTTTTTTTTTTTTTTTTATACGGAGTTTCACTCATGTTACCCAGGCTGGAGTGCAATGGCGCGATCTCGGCTCACCGCAACCTCCGCCTCCTGGGTTCAGGCAATTCTCCTGCCTCAGCCTCCGGAGTAGCTGGGATTACAGGCACGCACCACCATGCCCAGCTACTTTTTTATATTTTTAGTAGAGACGGGGTTTCACCATGTTGACCAGGCTGGTCTCGATCTCTTGACCTCGTGATCCACCCGCCTCGGCCTCCCAAAGTGCTGGGATTACAGGCTTGAGCCACCGCGCCTGGCCCCAAGCTAATTTTTATATTTTTTAGTAGAGACAGGTTTTACCACGTTGGCCAGGTAAACCATCTCTTGACCTTGTGATCTACCCGCCACGGCTTCCCAAAGTGCTGGGATTACAGGCGTGATCCACCATGCCCATCTTTTTCTTTTTTTTTTTTTTTGAGACAGTCTTTTTTTTTTTTTTTTTTTTTTTTTAAGATGGGGTTTCGGCCGGGCGCGGTGGCTCAAGCCTGTAATCCCAGCACTTTGGGAGGCCGAGGCGGGTGGATCACAAGGTCAAGAGATCGAGACCATCCTGGTCAACATGGTGAAACCCCGTCTCTACTAAAAATACAAAAAATTAGCTGGGCATGGTGGCACGTGCCTGTAATCCCAGCTACTCAGGAGGCTGAGGCAGGAGAATTGCCTGAACCCAGGAGACGGAGGTTGCGGTGAGCCGAGATCGCGCCATTGCACTCCAGCCTGGGT